GACCTGATGGATGAGGATTGGTGTTGTGGTGTCAGCCTCAATAAATAGAAAAGGATGTATTAGTTGAAGTTATAATTCTAGTTTGTTTTTGTCTATAAACGCGTTGATGAGATTAATGGTTTTTAGCTTGGCGTTGTACAGTACTGTCTGCATACTGAATGGTGTAGTGTGGCCGTCTTTTATTAGTTTTGTGTATAGATCTGTTTGAGGATAGGTTCTCAGGGGGCATGCCAAGAATATATGGTTTATATTTTCTATTTTTCCACACTCGCAAAGTGGGCTGTCAATTATTCCTATTCTATTCAGATGGACCTTTGTGCGACAGTGTCCTGTTTTAAGTCGTATGATGTTGGTTATGTCCTTTCTTCTGGCGTATTTTAAATTGTCAAACCATCTGGTTTTGGGAAATTTTTTAACGATTTCTGAGTACCATCCCCCCTTGTTGGTGGCTGTTGTTTTCCATTTTTGGGAAAATTCTTCTGTAAGTTTGTGTTTAATAACTGCTAGTATATCTGCCTTGTCGATTTTGATGTTCTTGGGTACATTGAGTGACCTTCCAATATTTGCGAGTTTATCTGCAGCTTCGTTTCCACTTATATCTGTGTGACTTGGTATCCACGTTAGGTGTATTTTCGTTCCGCTATTGTTTGCTTCTAATAGGAGTTTTTTGGTTGATAGTGTGATCGAGTCATTTGAAGTGTTTACCCCGGGATATCGAATCTTGTCAATGGCGCTTTTAGAGTCTGAGAGGATTACAACATTTCTTAGCTCTTTGCACAGAGAAATAATAATTGCCTTGTTAATTGCAACTATTTCCGCTGTGCAAATTGTTACTTCCTCTGGTAGTCTTTCTGCATAGTTGATAGGGGGATTGTTGCAATAGACTCCGTAGCCCGCGTTGTTTTTACCCTTGGAGGCATCTGTATATATGAACGTGTGGTTGGATCTAATGTTTTCGGTGATTTCGTAGAATAAGTTTTTGTTAGAAACTTGGCTTTTTTCCAGATTCAGATCGATCACCTTTATCATTTTTATCTGATGTTGTAGTTGCATTTCGTAGCATGGTGCCCTGTCATTTTTGTATATTTTGTTAGAGTATTTGTCTAGGTAGCCCAGAGCAGTGACTAGATAAGGCGTCTCCTTGTTCCTCCAGAAGTTTGCATTTTTTGCAAGTGATTTCCTGATGTTTTTTAAGAGTGTTGTTAATGGGTGGTCATTATGAGAGTAGATTTTTAGGAGAAATTTTACGGAAAGATTTTTTCTTCTATGGTCCATTGATTGTTCTTTTGCCTCTGCCAATAACGCCCATGTCGGGGTAGATTTCATGCATCCCAGAATAGTTCTCAGGGATTGAAATTGTGTTTTGTCTATCTTCTCTAGGCCGGTTTTATTTGTTGGTTTAATGAAAATGGAACCATAGTCTAGGTGCGACTTTACAATGCCGTTGTAGATTACTAGGAGAGTTTTCGGGTCGGCACCCCACCAAACTCTGGTCAAATTCTTTATAATGTTTAGACCTTTTTGCGCTTTGTTTACTTGTTCTGTGATGTGGGGGGTCCATTTTAGGTTTTTGTGTAGTATTATGCCGAGGTATTTGGTTTTATCTGTGTAGGGAATTCTTTTATTATTGTACAGCAGGTGAGGGGGGTTGAGTAACCGTCGGCCTTTCGTAAACCATACCGCTTTGCTTTTTTCCTCCGAAATACTAAGATTGTGGTTTTTAAGCCACCTTGACATGATTTTCAATGAGTTATTCAGTTCTTCTGCCATATAAGTTGTTTGCGTGCCTGTGGTGAATAGTATTATGTCGTCCGCGTACCCTAGGATTGTCGTTTTTTCCGGAATGATAAGAAATAGATCTCTTATGTATATGTTAAAGAGAATGGTGCTGAGCGGCGAACCCTGTGGAATTCCCGCATTGGCCTCCCCTGGGCCGATCCAAACTCCTTCTTTATTTCTAATAAACATCGCCCTGTTGGAGTTGATTCTAAATATTAGATTGTTTAGACTAGAAGTGATTCCAGCATTTGCTAGTTTTTTATACAATTTTGCTATGTCTACATGGTCGTATGCTGATTTTATGTCAAGAAATACCGCAAGTACCGACTGATTGTGGGTGAAGGCGTTAGTAACAGCAGTAGTTAGGTATGCGATGTTGTTGTATGTACCCATTCCTTTTCTATATGCTGTCTGAAAGTGGTTGAAGTACTTCATATTTTCAAGTTTCCAGTCTAGTCTATTCTTTATGATAATTTCTAACGTTTTAAGGTAACAAGACGACAGGACTATGGGTCTAAAGTTCTTTGGATTGTTAGGGTCCTTGTTAGGCTTTAATATGGGAATGATGGCATATTTTTTCCAGGCTTCGGGGATAGGTTTTCCTTGTAGGCATTCATTGTAGATGTTTAACAGTATATTGCTTGCTTTTTCTCCTAGGTGACTTAGCATAGGATAGTTAACCTCATCCATTCCGGGGGCAGAACTGGTTTTTCCTTTGAGGCTATGTGTTAGTTCTTCCAGATTGAAAGGAGGGTCTGCTGTCTCCAGTGGTTGCAGTGAGAAGTTTGGTGTTATGTTTGTTATTGAGTTGTCTTTTAGTATTTCCTCGGATATTGTGTCACTGGGTATAGGTAGTCTTGCATTCGCGTGTGTGCCACCAAATTTCTTTATCTTGTTCCATATATAGGTTATGTTTGTATTTCTGTTAAGTGTCCCACAGAATTCCTTGAAGCTGTCTTTTTTTTTCTATTCAATTGTTTCTTTGATAAGGCGATTTGTCTCTTTGCTTGTATAAAATTCTGCAGGTTGGGACTGGATCTAAAGTTGCTAATGGCTTTCCGTCTCTCTTTGACAATCGAGGAGCATTCCTGGTCCCACCATGGATTACCTTGTGGTTTTATTTGGTTTGTCTTAGTTTCTGGTATACTTTTTTGAGCTGCTGCCTCCACTATGCTGTGCAGGTCGTCAAAGCCAGCATTCAAGTCTAATTGGTTTGTCATTTTGCCTATCTCAGTTTCATACCTTGTCCAATTGGCTTTTCTGAAGTTTTTCCTAGGAAACGTAGAATGTCTGATGTTTGTGTTGCCCACCAGAGTGCACATTGTTGGGTAGTGGTCACTAAATCCGGGGTCTGGGATGAGTGACCATATTGTTTTTAGAGTGAGGTTGTTAGAGACAAGTGTGAGGTCTAAAGGACTTTCATTGGTGTTGTTGGCAAATCGTGTTGGTGCTTCGTTATTTATTATTGAAAAGTTTTTTTTGTTAATAAAGTTGTATAGGTTAATCCCGCTGTGGTTGTTTTTTTTGCTTCCCCAGTACACATGATGTGCGTTAAAGTCTCCCATTATTATATTTTTCTTATTGTTGATGTCTATTGTCGTTTCTAAGTCTTGTGGCGGGGTAAAAGCTGGGATACAACAGAGCGTCAAAACAAAGTGAGGTTAAGCACGGAGACAGTTGAACGAAGCGATGTTGACAGCGCCTCCTCAGAGCAATAACAGGGTTGTGTCGATCGATAACAGGGTTGGCGACTAGGGAACGTAAAAATTACGCGTCAAATAAACTATCCGGCCTGAACGAGAGGGAATCCGGTGATGATAGGCCAGACATCATATATTATATATAAAAAAGACATGTAACGAACTAAAAACGTTACAATGTTCCTTTGCCTCACATATTTGGAAGGAAATGCACAAACCAAAGAAAATCTATAAATACGATACAATTCCCACATTCCCACAAAAAAGTATTGTGCGTTGTCTTTGATTTACAACAAGTCATCTACGTCCCAATATCAAAAGAAAGCGCAATTTTTTATAAATCCCGACTGTCAAATTTTAATTTCACGTTTTATGATGTAGCAAGTAAAGACTGTGTTGTTTGGAACGAATCTGTTAGCAAACGTGGATCTTCCGCGATTGCCTCATGCCCACTTAAAGTGTTAGAGGAGTATAACCAAAATTCAATTGAAAGAGTCTGTTTATTTGCCGACGGCTGCTATGGACAGAACAAAAATAGTATTGTGGCTACAATGTTACTTTATTCCTTATCAAAACTGGAGAGTATCCAAGAAGTTTATCTTCAATATTTCGAGACGAACCACGGTCAAAATGAAGGCGACTCGACGCACAGCGCAATTTCTACAACAATATCTGGTGCCGGCGATATTTTTATCCCATCTCAGCTGTATCCTGCTATTAAATTGGCCCGAAGAAACCATCCCTATAAGGTCATATTAATGAAATATACCGATTTTAAATATTTTAAATTGTTATCGAAGGAGCTTCGCGTTTTGAGCGTAAGAGAAACCAATAATGGCAAAAATTTAAATGGCCAAATATTATAGAAATAATGGTTAACAGAAGTGAACCAAAGAAAATTTTTCTGAAAACCAGTCATGTCCAAGATGAATACGATAGCATTACCTTAAAGAGATTTTGATATTGTGATCTTACGGTTTCTTCTTTAAACAGTGAACCTCCAAAGATTGCCAAGAATAAATACGAAGACTTGGTTGCGCTGTGCTCAGGACATACACCTGTCATAAGGCAACCAGAGTTTCAGGAGTTTTATGTCGTTACCACATAATACTGCATGAAACACACATTGCATTAGCGTACTTAGTTTTAAGTTTAATTAAATATTTTTTATAGAAATTATAGTTACGAATATTAGATTTGTGAAAACCTTATTTCCTTACTTGAACTTTAGAATAAAATACAACTTACATAGTTTTTTTTTTCCCTAATAATAGAATAAAATACAACTAACATAGTTTTTTCCCTAATAATGACTTCACCTACACGGAGAAAAGTCGCTTTATTATAAATTATTTAAAAAAAATATATATATTACCAGATAAAAGAAATATTATCAACTTTAAAAAATTACTTTAATACCACTTACTCTAATTTTATAATCAACGAGAAATACGTAATTCAAGTTAAAATGCCAGCGCCACAGCGGCCAAATTTGGAACTAATCTATGGGCCATTCTCAACGCCATTTTGCCATTCATTTTCATTATCACTTACGTAGTTTGTCGTTGTTTTTGTGGATTTCGTGCTGTGTTGTAGTTTTAAAGGTGTTTCAAAGCTTTTTCGTTCATGAGATTAAGCATTGTGGAATATATGAACTATTTGAAGGGTTCAACACACTCCAAATGTGTGGTTGAAAGAGAAAATGTCCTCAATGCGGGGCATCTAACTTTGCGAGGTAAAACCGAAGCCACCAGTGAGCTTGTAAGCATTTATGTTCTATGTTTGCAATTCAGTGCAATTAATTCGGAGCCTTATGAAATTAAGGGAAGATTGACCATTGATGGAACTGTAAAAAACAAGGAAATGCATTGCTCATGTAAAGCAGGTAACAGTGGCAAATGCAAACATATTTCTGCTTTTCTTGTGAAATGTATCAGGAAAGCCAATTTTATCTTTACTTTTAATTGATATTCAAGTACCTATTTATATTCTGTTTAGAGAGGACAATGAAAATCTGGAACAAATATTGTCCATATATCAAATGTGTTTGGTCAACACAGAAGGTTGTGACAAAGGAACGCTATAAGCCTGTTCCGATTGAGGAGATGCCTTGTTTCATTGATAAGGTGAAACATAGTAACATTGTTACAAATGATGAAAAAATACGGTCATTTTTTTGCCAAAACCTACCAAGCTCTACGATCAGTGTACACAGGTTTGTTAAAGTAATTAGATTTATTGGGAACAAAAATTGTTAATTTGTAAAAATTTTTACTTTTAGGAAGGGTAGACGCAATATTAGCCGTAATATGCAGTTACCTGATTATCAAATGTGACTACCATCAAACCATTTTGAACAACGCATGTTATTACGGCTACCTTGCATGATGTTTTTGGCCTCGAGCGAAATTGGGGAACTTCAATTATGTGTGTGTGTGTTGTGCCAATCTGTACAACTCAATATTAAATGATGATATTGAGGTGACTATCAACATTCCACAAAAGTCGGTACAATGGATGGATGGTCGCAAATGAGATTGAGCTAACAAGGCATTAAAACATTTCTTCCCAACGAAATTGAATAATAAATTCGTGAGACGTGAAATCCAATGGGAAAATGTTGCGAGGGAGGCATTTGTCAACATTACTGGAATGGAGGTGGTAGACTGTGGGATGATTGTTTCCCATGCTAACAAATGGTTGGGATATTCTCCGGATGGTGTTGTTATCCATGATGGAACCCCAGTTTATCTTTTGGAGATAAAATGTATTTTTCAAGGTAAAACTATTCCCAATTTTAATTAACTTGAAATGAAATTTAAAATTAATTTTTTAGGTAAAACCAAAATGATTTTAGAAGAAATTGAGAAGGTTCTAAATTCTTAAGAAGAATCATAAATATTATGGCCAACAGTACAGAGTACAGATGCATTTCAAGTCTCAAGGTAAAACGGAGCGTGTGGGTGAAAATTTTTACCTTGATGCACAGTTTAAAAGTCGCAAGGTAAATCGGAACGTTTGGATGCAAGTCTGCAGATACTTGCCTGCACAGTTCACAACTCTCAAGGTAAAACGGAACGTGTGTATGGAAGTCTCAATACTTTTCGTGCGTGTACAGAAGGAATGTGTGGAAGCAACGCAGGTTATTTTTATGCCTCAACTGTGCAGGCAAGTATCAAGGTAAAAATTTCCATCCACACGCTCCGTTTCACCTTGAGACTTGAAAACTGTGCAGGCAAGTATCAAGGCAAAACTGAGCGTGTGGAAGCAACACAGGTATTAAGACTTACCTTAATAATTTAACTGTGCAGGCAAGTATCAAGGTAAAACAGTCAAAACGGAGCGTGTGTAGACCGCTTGTGACGACTTTTTCTGTCATCACTCAAACAGAAAGAAAAAGGTATCCGTTGCTCAGGGTTAGAGGAGAGCTGGGTTCGTAGGTAAGGCTTGTGACCTGTGGTGACTTAATAATGTTGTTAAATAATAAAATAAAAGTAATAATGTATAGGCTGCAAAGATTCTAAAATTGATGTTAAGTATTAAATAGTAATGGTCAAAGACAGTAAAAAGGGCGCCACTTACTTTGAGTATGAAAAGGTAAAGTAAGAAACCAGTAAGAAAATTTGATCATGAAATAGCTAAAATAAAATAATCAACAGCAATAAGGGTCTATTATGTTCATCAAGAATAAAAGTCAGATATAACTATCCTCGTTGAACATTTATTTAAAAACGAACACAATTATCAATCAGTTTAAACCCAGTTTCAATTATCCCAATGAAATCGTTAGTTGCTTTAAGTAAACTCAAATTTAGTTAAAGTTCTCTTCAGTATACTATACTACGTAATATATAAACAGGTGAAATTTATGTAAGTACCAATACGATGATGTTTCGAAACAAATCGTGTACAATAACCTTCAAAAATGAATCCGTGTTAGCGATTCTCACATAAAAGATCATACTGAAGTAAAACGTACCGTTAAGGACAAAGCATGACTTATAATGTTAACTAAAAGGTAAATTTTGACTATAATATATGGAATAAATGACAACAATTCACAGAGATATTCAAAATATTATCTCAAAGTAAAAAAAATTTAGGGAATACCTTGTGTGTTGAACTTAGAACTTATCTGTATTTTTTTTTTAATTTATGACGTAGTGAACAGATAGGCAGGCAGTCTCCAGACTAACGGAAGTGGATGTAGACTCTTCGATAGTAGCAGGAGTCTTCGATATCAGTAGAATAAATGTAGAGTCATAAATACTGTCTCAAAAGTGGTTACTCATATGCCAATTACTTATACGTCAATTTCTTATACGCCAGTTACTCTATAAAAAAACTCTCAGAACAGTCACCGAATACCAAAAAAATAACTTACGGTCTGAAAATCAGCTGTACACCTTCCAAAATATAGCCAAACTATAGGCTGATCCAAACCAGTAATGCACAATCAAACATTATCAAAATAAATAAAAACGGGAATAACTGAAATAAAATTTAGTTAGACATGGCGATACAAAATGGTAGATACACTTACTGTGATCTTATTCCAGGAAAAGGCCAAAAAAACACGAACTAGGCTCTGAACAGTATATTCTACAGGATTTCAAATCTCCACTTTTGGATACCCGTGCCTTTACTGTTAGGAAAAGTGTTTCAGAAAGCCCTTTTTCTCTGAGATTCGTCGGACGCTGAACCACGCGTCTTTTTCTGATCTCAATCTCTCGGAAAAAGCTTCCTTCCTCCTTTTCGCAAAACGGCTGTCTTCGAATTGACAGGTCATATGACCAAAGGCAATTAAGTGAACTCTATCGTCTATACTGAATGAAATTTGTTTTTATGGAAAGGAACCGCTACCTGTACTGAATGAAGTTTAACATCTAGCGAATAGATGGCGCCAGCAATATTAAAATTTGGAATTTTATAAAAAGAAAAATAAAACGCTACACGCTTAAAAGCATTTGCTACACTTTATGTATACGACTGATTAGGGGTGTAGTCCAATCTTTTTCTGTCTACAATTTTTTACTGGTTTTGTTTCAGAATCCAGCCGACTTGCACGCAGAGCTTCAAAGAAGACGTGAAAAATTGCAAAAACAGAACCTAACTTTGCAACCGTTGATGGTAGTTACAGGTACAAAAGAAACTGGATCTTCATATTCTTCTGCGATAAATGATATTCTGTATCCCACGGAGACACCAGTAAAAACTCTTGACGTAACATTTAAAGTTATCTATGCTTTAGATGCATCCTATCAATTAGAATGTAGACATGTGTGGTCGTGTATTCAAAACCAGATATAGGAGACTGAACAAATAACTGAAAAAACGACTATTAGCGCCGATATTGTTACTTCAAAAATTAAAAATAAGATTAATAATCTTTAGTTTAATCCCTGTAACAGGATACTTACCTTTAACGCTGAAAGCTGATTAAAGCTGATAAAGACACGTGTTCTAAAATGGTCTACATTGATAATGCAGTTTTACGAACCGAAAACAATTACGAAAATGATTTAACGCTAAATAATGCCAGTTTGTCGGGTATCAAAGAACCTTGCATATTTAATAGTTAATGATTATCATCTTACCCAAAACTTTTACTGTGACATTGTGCATGACTTACTAGAGGGAGTTTGCAAGTATACTGTGAGACTTGTCTTACATGAACTACTCATAGTAAAAAAAAACTCATAACATTTGAAATGTTTGATTCAAAATTGAAATATTTTAACTTTGGTACAGAGTCTAAAAATAAACCGCCATTAATATCTTTCGATAACATCAGGACCAGACAAATAAGATTATCGGCGACTGAAATGTCATGCTTTTGTAGGTATCTGGGCATAATTTTAGGCGATAGGGGAGGTCGGGGCATGATGACGAACGGGGCAAGATGACGAAGTACCGATTTAAAGAAAACTGTAGATCCTAAAAATCCCATTTATTTTTCTATAAATTCCTTTAGGTGTATAATACGTCGGGTTACATATAGATGGAGCTATCATTTTTGAATCGGGTTTAAATAATCATAACCGCTTTTCACACCTGTTAGATGTAAACATCCAGCTCCATAAAATAAGCAATTTCGCAGGTTTAAAGAAAAATAGAAGCCCCTTTCATAGTTAATCTTGATTATTGTGAACATTTTAAATATTAGAAGGTAAGATACAACCTAATTTAACTTAATTAATAATTTAATTTTTGCTGTTTCCTAAAAAATATTTCCTGGGGCAAGTTGACGGAGGCAAAATGACGAATTCGTCAACTTGCCCCACTGTGTATAAAATTAGTTAAATTCATTTTTTGATGTCTTTAGATGGTGAGAACTTATAACACTGTACAGATAGACGCTTTTGGTCAGAAGACATGCTAATTGCCGCGTTGCACTCTATTTTGCACGACCATAAGTCAGTTAAAGCTGCCAGTATTGAGCATGGAATCCCGGAAGCAACATTAAGACGTTATATAAAAAAGCAAAATAACAACGAACCAATTCCTCTTAGTCGTGGGAGATTCAGAAGAACGTTTTCTGATGCTCAGGAAGCTCAGTTTGTGACTTACCTCACTGACCTGAGTATTAGAGCATTGTTAATTAGAAGCAGAAAAGCTTGTTAATTTCATTTCTCCCAGGCCCCTCAGGATTGAATAAAATGGATTCTGCAAAGAATACAAACTATGAAACACCAGATGCTGAACCCCCATTGCGTTCCAAAAAAAACAGACGGCAAGGTCAATGAATTTGTCCCTTCCTGGACCTTCAGTCCTACAGCAAAAAAATCTGCAAAAAACAATGAAGCACATTGGTACTATAAGTTCATCCAGCTCCAGTCAAACAATCTCTAATGTTGATAGTCGAGTAACGCTACTTGAAATGAAACCCTTTCCCAAATATGCACGTCCCTTAAAAACTACCAAAAGAATTAAACAAAGGGCTTCTGTCATCACCTCAACACCCAACAAAGAAAAGTAATGACATTTTTTGTCCTGGCTGCCAGGAATCCTATACTGAGCCTCCTACAGAAGACTGGATTCAATGTAACACGTGCGAGAGTTGGTGGCACGAGTCGTGCACAGTCTATGAAAAAGATGGCACATATACCTGCTTATAATCGTCATCTTGCCCCTATAGGCTCCTCATCTTACCCCGGTACTGGGGCAAGTTGACGAAAATGCACGTTTTTGTTTGTTTCTTTATATTTTTTCAAGAGTACACTTTTATTTTGTTTTTTATATTTTATGATGTACCTGAATAAATGTACTAACAGATGAAATGGGATCTTTTTTTTTTAAACCCGTTAGTTCGTGTTTTGGAGCCTTTTGTATTTTACTTCGCCAACTTGCCCCGATCTCCACTATTATTCCAAAAAATAATATATACTGGAAACTATTCTGTTACCTAAGGGAAATTGTTGCTATTGCTACAAGTGTTCATACAAACCTGCAGGTAATAAATCATTTAAAAGAGTTAATTTTAAAGCATCATAAGCTTTATTTTTTTAAATTTCACTTTTTATTGCACTTACCTGATGTAATGGTGCAGAATCTCCAAACATAGAGAGCTAAAGTCGAATGCAAATGTCGTAAGCTCTCGAGTTAATATTGTCAAGAATGTAATTATTGGATATATAAAATAACTTAAATATATTTCGTAAATTAATAATTCGATTGAAAGGAAATATAAAATATTTAAAGTTCATTGGCATGTACGCAACAAAAGTAAAGTTTTAAAAATCAAAGTTATAAGCATAATCGGCAATTGCGAAAAATATTTCCTTTCAATATTACGAATTTATAAAATCATCAAATCAGCACTGACGTGGTCATCGCGCCAATAGACCAATAATGCTGATTCGATGATTCGACGTAACGAACCAATAAATACAAAATGGTCACCTGTTGGGAGACAGTAAAACAGTCAGACAGTCGATAGTCGAGAATTGATGTTCGGTAGGGTCGCGGTCGAGATTCCGGCATTGATGTTCGAAGCCCTGACACTACCGAGTCAGTGATGATGTTCGTCCATAAATTAATGTAAGTACATATGTATAATTAGTATTAAAGAATTGTGTTATTCGTAAATTAATTAAAAGTGTTAAAATTAAATCATCTGTTTCATTCCGCTATGCCTCTAGTCATAACCCACAAAATGGGCCGTGACAATATTTGTAAAACCTTATCTTTAAAATATGAACTAAAACTTTGTGAAATATTTATTCTTAATAAGGGATTCAAAGAAAACAATCAAATCGGTATATCAAAGATGTTACCTAACATCAATAACAACAATTTGAATAATATTTTAAACTTTAACTAGATATAGTTTCCTAAATAACATTCATGTAGCATCTTCTCTTACACATTGTGGCATAACTTACAAGAAAAAGAAAATGTTCTGCTAATATCTATTGAAAATAACTATGAACCGGTCTTTGGAAACATTGAAGAAATTTTTATAAATGAAACGCAAAAAGTAGCTTTTGTTTTTTAAAAAATGGAAACAATTGGATTCGACAATCATACTATGGCCCGGTTGTACCAAAATAAATTGAACGAGAGTTCAACTGATCTGTTGGTCAAAGTTGAACTTGGATTGCGTTGCACCAACTCGCGTTCAGTAGAACGTCGATCAATATTTAGTTTCTTATGTTGGTATTGAATTTCACAGTAACTTTTGGAGTTTTTATATAAGTTGGCGTAAATGCTTTTAAAAGTTTGTTTTATTGATTGGTGGGTATGTGTCCTAGAGCAGCACAATTTAAAAATGTCTCAAATGCAAGAAAAGCATGAAGTCTTTATGAGGCAGCAAGAAAGGGAGCATGATGAGAGAATTCAATTTTTAAAATTTAGCAAGGAACTAATAAAAAAAATAATTGACCAATAAATACTCTGTAAATATATAATTATTAAAAAATATTATATAAACACTTAACACACAATATATATGAATTTTGAAAATATGCATACATATTATATTGTTTTATTTCTTTTACATATTACATATCTAGTACAAACAACAAGTATACTGAATTGTATTAATTTAATATAATGTATTAATTATTGTTATTTAATTATCTACTTATAATCAGAATTATCAAAAATATAAAAATAATCCTATACATACAATAAAAAATATTATATACATAAATCAAAATATATACAAGAGTATGTAATGGTAATTTATTTTATGGTAATTATAATCACAATTTAATTAATTAACAAGTTATTTTGACTTTAAAACATTAAGACATTTTAAGAATGTTTTAGTAAAATAATATTGAAACATTTTCTAGACATAAATAATTAGTTCTAGATGTAAATAACTAATACTCAGCAATATATTCTATATCGTAAAATAACATATTTACAGTGATTCAAAATATTCATTAATTAAACTATATCTAACACTATTATTTATACCACCCAAGTCATTTGGAACATGTTCTCCTATATTATTTCCAATGTTTATTTCCGCTTCAATTTCATCAGTTACTAATGGTGTTGGATCTGTAAAATGACACCACTAAACTTCTATTGCTTCTACTTTATCAACATTTAAACGGATTCCTGTCGCTAATATAGGAAATCTTCTTTTTAGTACACCAAAACACCTTTCTATTGGGTTTCTTGTTCTTATCTGAGCTTCGTTAAATAAGTTTTCAGCCCTCGTTGTTGGATTCGCCAAAGGGGTTATTAGGTATGGTTTTACTCCATACCCACTGTCCCCTAGTAATAAATTATTTCCATATACTCCATTTTCAAACTCAGCCTTTACTCTAGAATTTCTAAAAATCATTGAATCATGTGTAGAACCAGGCCATCTACACACAATGTTAGATATTTTCAAATCGCTGTCACAAATTGCTTGGACATTAAATGAAAAAAATCCTTTCCTATTGCGGTAATTCTCTGCATTTGCCCCTCCAGGAGATTGTATCTTCACATGCGTACAATCAACTGCTCCTATGCATCTTGGAAAGCGACAAATATTATAAAATCCTTGTGCCTTTGAATTTCTATCTTCCACTCCCATTGGCATTTTAATAAAGTCCTTGCTTAAAGATGCTATAGCTCTAGTTACTTTTGTAATCACGCGGCTCGTAGTAGACTTGTCTACACCACTGATATCACCAACACTTTGTAGAAAACATCCTGTTGCTAAGAACCGTAATGTGATAAATACCATGTCAGCTGGTGTTAAAGCATGATTTCTAAAAATAAAAGCTTAAATAAGATACAGTAAATATACATAATTAAACTTACTTGTTTGTTTTAGATGCAATTAAACCGGAAATTTCCTCTATTAAATAATTCACAATAGGTTTAGCAAGTCGAAATATTTTTTAAAAATCCACGTCATTCCATTTTTCGAAATTGTTTGGTCGAAATCGTACTGTTTGTGGTCTCCTTAGCCGTTCATGTTGTCTCACTAATTCTAAAAAGTCTTCGTCGTCAGTTATTCACCTAATAAAGGATCCATTACGAAAAATCTTAAGAACAATAACAAAACGATAATCAAAACAACGAAAAGCGGAATATGTCAAATAATAAGGTTATGTCTACCCCTGAACGACGCTTGAACCGCCTAATGTCACCGTTCAGTTGACCGGGCAATTTGAACGGCGTTCAGGCTTGGTACAACGCATTTTTTGCTTTGATCGTCGTTCACAATTGATCTGTCGGTGAACTTCGTTGGTACAACCGGGCCTAAGTCGTATAGAATTGCAACAAGAACAGAAACAGATTTGATTTTTGTATCTGATCTGCCTTATTTCGACCTGCTATTATATATAATAATAAATGACGAAAGAAAATATGTTACACTAAGGTATTCTACCATGTTATATAATAATAACATTTATTTATGTTAGTTGTCATATTAAGGTGCTTATGACCTGTGGGCTAAACGTACTGAACGCCATACCAGTACGAAAATTAGTGACTCAATTCATGTTCAGATCAGATGGCCCTAGACCCGACTAGGTAAGCCAGTTTAGTTACATTTTAGTTGATTTGGCCTAGTCCATTTAGTTAGGTTTTTGTTTTCCTTTTATTTGTGCAGTTTTACATTATTGTCAAATTAAATTTAATTTGAGCCCATGTAGTCCAGGAAAGATATCATCGGTCAAAAAAAATGCGGGCAAGCTGAATTTTTTATAGTGAGTAGGGGGGGGGGGTCATTGAGTATAAAACCGCGGAGATCACACTCGTCACCCTTGTGCGTTACTTGCAATACAGGGTGCTACAAATTCGAGGTTGTATGGGGATCTCGCCAAACCGTAATAGATACAGGATCGTTTAAATGGGAACAAAGTTGGGCATTTTGAGGCTTAACAAAATGCCGTTTTAAAGGTTGAGAAATTCCGAGTGGTTCCGGAGTTATCCGAGAAAACCCGAAATTTGGTTATTTTGAATTTATTTTTTTCTGGCATTATTTGGCAAGATAGCCAAAAACTAAAAGCACATTTTCCTTGCCACTTTTAAGTTACTTACACAACGGCATTGTCAGATTTGTGATCCGACGTTTCGTGTTCCGTCCACCATCATCAAGTTTATTTTTCTTATGGGTGCTATATTGTTTTCGTATTGTGTATATATATGTAATTTAGTGTGCAATGGTAATTCTTTTCACATGCATACCAACAGGCCACGTAAGAGAATGATGAATTTAATCTGAAAATTTTAAAGGTAATTTTTCGTCGAAATACAGACATTTTGTAGTGCCAAAAAGAGTACCTAATTATTCATTTTAACTGGATTTTCTCATTTCAGCGCTGCAGTATAATGTTCGTATTTCGACCAAAAATTATCTTTTCAATATTTTCAGCTCAATTTCATCGTTCTCTTACGTTGCCAGTTGGCATGCATATGAAAAGAATTACTATAGCCAATTCGGCATAAGCGATACGCCCTCTGTAACAGTCAAATTTCCTCGCAACGACCTCTGTGTGCTAGCTCATAAAATATCGCAAATAGCTATTATTTTTGCATCATGTTTACTATAATTTTATTGTTAAATATTATTTTATTTAAATTTTACCATTATGCAACCCGATATACACCGCGCTATAGAGCCACAGAATATTGTTACTGGATGCCGCCCAGCATTAGAATTTTTGTCCATCTCTCTAAATCTTTGGTCATCACTTGTCCCTTGTCACTGTCAGATCAAATCAGGTGTTTTTGGATTTATTTATCCTTTGTTTTGGTTATTGAAATTTTATAATTATCAGATAAAATTTCGTAGTTAAATTGGTTGGATCGCAGTGTGCAATTCGTTCATTTAATGGTGGGAATTTGTGAATAAGTTCGTTCATTGACCGGATATGAAATATGACAATGAAAAATATTCTAGAACGTCGTTTTTTATTTATGCCTTTTTGTGAGTTGGACTAGTCGAGATATATAGTTCTCTATCTATATCCTGGAGGGAGATTTCCAGTTGAAATCTGATTTTGTGAAGGAAATCGAATCCTTGCATGACTTCTTGTGTATCCACCGACTGAAGAGTGTCGTCGTGAAGAACTGGCTGCCGTTTCGTGAAGCATTTCCTGTTGGTAGTTAACAGGTCTTCCTAGAGAAGGATTAAGGCTTCCGAAACACATTTGGTTAGAGACGTGGTTGGATTTTGTTGATTTGTATGGACCACCGACCAATTTCCGTAAGGAATTAAATAGCCAAATTTTTCCGACCGATATTCCGATTCCACGTGCCCAAGAAGTCCCCGAACAGTTCCAAGGTATGCTATAATTCTTCTGCCTAGTCTAAGTCAATGCTCAACTGATTTTTATTCGTATTGTTGACTGGTTTTCGACTTTTCCACGCCCACGTGGTGTAGAAAGATTAGTTGAGTGTTATCTTTCTTAAATCTTATTTGGTTGTTCGTAATTGTAGAGCAAGAAGACCGATCCAGACCGTAGCACAGAACAGTCCATAAACCCTCGTTGAGGTAAAGTTCAGATTTAATTAGTCCTTCTTTATTACCTTTATTAACTCCTACACGTTGTGCTAGTTCTTGTTCTATAATTGAGGCTCTATTCTAAGACAACCAATATTATTTAGGGTTTTTATGTTCACCTTTTGAAGTCCTACACCTGGCCGGCATCCGTACGTCTGCTGAAATCCGTGGGCTCCAGTGACAGTACACCGAGCTGCTGTGCACCGCCGTAGCCACCCTGTAGCTATACACCGTAGCTCAGCCGGAGGAACTTCCGAGTTGTTTCAAGATTGTACATCGATTAGAGTAAGACTGTTTTGATTTAGATTTGCTTTATGTAAACCACCCTGTTAGTATCTAGTATTAAGTTAGATAAGGGGGTTTGACGTCATAGGTTTAGTACTCATTGATTTAAATTTCATTTAACTTTACATTTCATTTAACTTCAATTTCATTTCTTTAAATATAAACTTTTTGATATTTTAATAAATTGCTTAAATATTTTTAGTAGTATTATTTACAGTCTAGTCTCATAGTTAAGTTAGAGTCACTTAAGTTCAAGTAATTATAGTATATTTGAAGTTCATGGTAGTTACACTCAACAGTTCGAGGTTAGTGTTGAAGTCTACTTAATAGTAACATCTTTTATGCCGAGTTCATAGAGTATAATCTCGTGGCGCCCTTTTATTAATATCTTTGAACCCCGACCACCCGGCTGTTAAAATTAAAAAGCTAGTGGCCTCTATGCAACTCATCCTAATTAAGTAAACTTTGTGTTTTATTGAACTTCAAATAAGAAAGGGCTTCCATAAGAAAGCTATGGGCCATTAAATTTGACATTTGTCGTCTTTTGCATTGTTTAGAAGAGCTATTCACGATTCTCATATCGTTTTTGTTTCTTTTGCGGAAGTTTAATTATTATTGAAATATGAATCATTATTGTTGTGTTCCCCAGTGTTCATCCTGGGTAAAGAGAAACCCTGAATTAAGCTTTCACACGTTTCCAAAAGCAGGAAAAGAACGTGTTGTTGTAGAAACAAAGTTAGGAAATAAGGAGCTTGTGGATAGAAGACAGATGTGGATTCGTTTGTGGAAAATTAGAAAAAACCCATCTATTCACATGAGAGTATGTTCTTTACATTTTGATGAAAGTGATTTCCTTCAGAAAGTTAGGTAGAACTCCTATGTCGAGACCTCCGTAAGAAATGAATTAAACCAAAAGTTTTTATAAGTATTGAAGAATATTTAATTTAAAATAGCATGGTAAGCAAGTTGGCAAGCTATTTCTAAGAAAATATATTGCTCGATACATACTTGATACATTAAAACTTTTGGTTGCATTATCTGATTCTCCGACAAGCAACAGAACCAATATCTTACCATTTTCACCCTCCTATAAATCGGTGTCCTAATTATATATATTTTTTAATTTCAGAAAGAGTTAAACGTAGGACATTGAAGCCTAAGACTGTTCCTTCAAAAAATTTACCAAAAATTTCACATGATGCTGCTGCTGGACCATCTTCCAGAATTCGTAGAACCAGGCAAATGGAAGCACATATGCTTAATGAGGCCAGTGCAACCAATAATGAGGCAACTAATGTGTTTCCTTTATGTGACGATGATGATAATGTTGAAGATCCACAAGAAAGAAAATCTGCAGAGGATGTATTAGCTCCGGTTGATTCTCAAAACACAGTAGAAGTTGTACCTCCAGGACCTAGCAGCAGAGATAGTGCAGTTCAAGTGAATACACCAAAAGTTTTAACTCTTTATGAACTCATAACTAGTGATGAAAAATTGAGAAACTTTACTGGCATAAATAACTTTGCAATTTTTGATTCTATAGTTGAGATATTTGAAAAATATCATAAGGACAAGCGTGTGCGTAGATTAAGTATTAGACAAAGGATCATGTTGCTATTGACTAAATTTAAAACCAGTTTGACATACGTAACATTGGGCTCACTATTTGGAATTACTCCAGATTTGGCCAAAACCAATATCTATGAAATGATGCCACTCCTTTCAAAAGTTTTAAAACCATTAATTGTTTTTCCTTCAACAACTCAAATCACTAAGAACATGCCAATTTGTTTCAAGGAATTTCAGGATTTTAGGGTGATATTAGATTGTACAGAAATTTTTGTGCAGTCGCCAAAGTGTTTATGCTGGAGAATCAGGTTTTATTCACAATATAAATCTAACATAACTGTCAAATTTATGACAGGAGTTTCACCTGGTGGGCTTATAACATATATCAGTAAACCATATGGGGGAAGAGCTTCTGATAAGGTAATATTTGAAGAAAGCAATTTAATATCATTATTGAATCCTAACAGAGATGCAATTATGGTTGACAAAGGGTTTGTTATAGATGACATTTGTAATTTATACAAAGTAAAACTAATTAGGCCACCTTTCTTGCGACATAAATCACAACTTTCTTCAGAAGAATCAATTTTGAATGCCAAAATAGCATCTGCTAGGGTTCACATCGAACGTTCGAATCAACGATTAAAGATTTTCAAAATTCTTAGTGGTAAATTAAATTGGGCTCTAGTTCCAATGGTTGAAGATATATTCATAATAATTTCTGCAATAACAAATTTATCTTCACCAATTTTAGCAGACACCAGATTTTTATCAGAATGAGGATTTGTACTACTTACACATACATAGATACATAGTACATAGAGACATAAAAATCTTAAATTTACTGTTAACCTTATTTTATTTAATTTGTATATAGAAACGTACTACATACATATCATTATATTTTATACCAGTAATAAATATTATTTATGTACAACAGTTGTGTATCATTTTTTCAAAATATTTATGTTTTACATTTATTAACATGTCACAAACAAATTCGTAATCAAAATCAACCTCCATTATTAACACACTATCATCAAAAGAAGCATATAACACAAAATATGTTTTGGGCAAATTCAACACTGCCATCCCCATCTACACTTAGCCGTAATACTTGTGCTTCTTTTTAAGATGGTATTGACCATTTTCTTCGACCACATATTTTGCACTCTTGATGGCTTCAAGAATCGTCTTAGTTTTACCTAGAACGAAAAATAAGTGTTTATTTGAGTATATAGAAAGTTTCAAAATGTAGGAATAAAATTATTAATGTGTACCAATATTTATACCTTCGAAAATACACTTTATCTCAAGGAGATAAAGTGGATTATCCTTGAAAAATATTATACCATCAGGGGAATATCCCAACCACCTGTTGGCGGAAGAAATAACTAAGCCACATTCCACAACAGTCATTCCTGATATCTTGACAAAAATGTCTCGTGCTGAACTGTCATATTTCAAGCCATGTTTTATATATTTGTTATTAATTTGGATGGGGTTGAAATATTTTATTGATTTAGTTTCCCAATCATCCTTTGAATAGGTGTAAATTTCGTAGCAGCGACTCCCAGTAATACGATATTTCCTTTTTTTTTCCCAATCCACTGAACGTTGTGGAGAATGTATGGCTTCCTCTATATCATCATTACACAAAGTGGACACTATTTGTGCACAGCAATCTTTTCCGACTTGTATGTCAATTGATGTCAAGTACAGCATAGTGGGTGACTGGCAAGCCACATTCAAAATAGCCTCTATGTAACTAACACAATAATTGTCAGTTTTTTTCCAAATTTGTACAAACATCTGTAGAGCACTCTTCTCTTCGACCTTTCCTACAAATTAAAAAAATCAAATCAAATTAAGTAATTTTTAAAAATCCATCATTGATAAACTTACATGTGCTTAGCAATTGCTGAGGCAGGCAATTTATTACAAAAAAAATTGACTATATCATCGGGATTTACATCAAGCTGGCTTTTATATATACCTTTATTTTCAAAACATGGCATTTCATCCACAGATACAGGCCGATATTTTTCCTTGGTAAGGTTTTTTTGAATAGCCCATACACATTTTTTTTTCAGTTTGGGAAATAGAACCCAATGTTCCACATCTTGTCTAAAAAAAAGAAACGGATGTTAAGAATATTATGCAGTTTGGTATTTCTACGTAGGTAGTATGTTAATTAAAATCATATCTGCATGGAAATAATTGGGACTTCAAAACTCACCTTATACATCTAATAAGGAAAGCTGAAACATGTTTGCATTTTCCGCTGTTTCCAGCTTTACATGAACATAACATACTGGAAATTTTAATGGATTTGGAAAGTGACAATTTTCCTGTTATTTCATGGGGATTGGAATCTAATACACTTGACTGCAAACATAATCCATATACATCTATATAGTCAGAACAAGAAGATTCCTCAATTTTTCCGGCCAATATAAGATGTCCTGCATTTAGCACATTTTCACCTTCCACCACACATTTGGAATGCTCAGACCCACCTACATAGTTCATGAACTCCATGATACTCAGCCTCATATTGGATTTTTGTTAGTGTCCCTGAACAATAATTAAAATTCGCAAAACAAACCACAAAAATATCACACTTCCAAGCTAAAACACGTGCATAAACAAAATGTAAACAAAGAATAATGGCCCATAGCTATATGTCAACTGTCACCGTAGGCGGCGCTGCGATCTTAATCAGAGATGCCTATTGCACAGTAAATTACAAAACAATATGGCGACCATAAGAAAAATAAACTTGATGATGGTGGACGGAAGACGAAACGTCAGATCGCAAACCTGACAATGCCGTTCTGTAGGTACATAAAAGTGGCAATGAAAATATGTTTTTAGTTTCTGGCTATCTTGTCAAATAACGCCAGAAAAAAATAAAATAAAAATAACCAAATTTCGGGTTTTCTCGGATAACTCCGGAATCACTCGAAAATACTCAACTTTCAAAACGACATTTTGTTAAGCATCAAAATGTCCAACTTTGCGCCCATTTAACCGACCCTGTATCTATCGCGGTTTACGAGATCCCCATACAGCATCGAATATGTAGCATCACCCTGTATTACAAGCAACGCACAAGGATGAGGAGTGTGTTCTCCGCGGTTTTATACTCTGTCAACCTCCCGCTACTCCCCATAAAAAATCAGCTTGCACGCATTTTTTTGCACCATGTACCTACCAGCCACCTAAGTTTCTTGGACTAATCTATACACAATTTGTTTTGTTACCAGAGGTAATCTGTTTCTGTGTTTTCGATAATTAAAAAAAAGAGTGTTTTGTTATGACAACCAAAGAAAATGTTTTTTTTTTATGTTCAATACTTTTGAGAACTAAAAACAAAAAGTTATTGACAAATATTCACAAGTATGTTTATTTTTTAATTAGATTGTAATATATTATATTATAGTATTTTACCTTCGTTTAATATGGCAAATTATGCGCTTGTGAAGGATAAATTAAGACTCTTGGCAGCCTTTGTTTAAAAATATAAAGAATTAATTTTCAATAGTTTACCGCGTTCTAGCGTCTACAACAATAGACAAAGGTTTTACGCATAACATATTGGTTTAATGGTTTCAATCTAAATTGGAACACCTTACAATAATCATTTTTGGGCTGTTATACAGACCATTCCACACCACCTGGATAGAAGTAAGATCAAATCGTAATTAACCCGAACTCCACCAACTGGTCCATTTGAAATACATTGTAGTCAATATTAGACAATTTTGAGAGGTTTTGACGGCAATGGATCTTGATAAAAAAAATTTGCCATTCATGTTCAGCTGAACCATACATTGAACTTCCTGCTGTCCATTTGTACTACCATCAAGTCCAGAAATTAGGCTTTTTGCAAAAAGTACCAACAATTTATATTGAATGAAATTTAAAAAAAACATGACTTTTTTTAACGTTTTTCCACCAGTATGCTTGGATCTTATCATTCCCTGGGGTCTTCCAGTTGCTCAACCTTGTAAGAGCTTTTCTCACCAACTCTGCCGTTACTAATATTCTTTCCATTTCCGGTATACCTTGGTTTCTCTGTTCTTCGTTTCTCAGCCAATAGGCATCCTTATTATGATTTTCTTCCTGAGACCATATTTCACTCCGATATTCCATCATATGCGCCTTCTCTGGGGTTTTCCTTGCTGTTGTGGGAATCTGTTGCAAGGTTGCGGTAGAAGAGTTTCTGGTTCAGTTGGAAATCACGGTTTTGTTTGTATCGCTTAACCCTTTTGTTGTATCTTCTTAGTCTAGCCCCCAAGGCGGAAATTTTTTGTTTGAGGTTCTCAAGGAGCGTTCTTAGGTTCTGTTCATTGATATTAAGATCGTTTGCTTTGGCTATGTTGTTAACTCTATGCCTTAATCTAACGCTAGAGCCAGCAGGATTTTGGGTATAAGAGTTAATTGGCCCTATCACTTCCCTTAATTTCATTATTTTTGATTCCAGTCTTCTTTTCCACGGTGGGTTGCTATCTGTCTTGATCTCTCGTGATATTCTCTGGGAGGTACTACATCCTGTTGCATTACAAACAGTTATTGCGGCACTGTAAATTAGGTGGCAGGTTTCCTCTAGGTTTGAGCTAGAGGGAAGCTTCTGAGCAAGTATATTGTTAACCAGTCTAACAGTTTGAAGAGTTTTACATTGTATTTGATTTTTGGGATTTTGTCTCTTAACTGTAGCGGGATACCTTCGTATTTTAAACAGTTTTCTTCAAATTGGGAGTGAAGTTCGTTAACCGCTGGGACGTTTTCGTCCTCGGTGAGAAGAGTTGTCACGGTTTCTCGTTTGTTTCAGCACTTTCCTCTACAACTTCCTGTATGGCGGAATGCGGTTATTTGTGTGGTGCCACTTCTTCTTTTAAGGCTTGTAACTCTGCTTGGGAAAATACTTTTCTATTAAGAACTGATCTTATTTGGCCTGACAGTTGTTGAGATGTTTTTGGGTTGTGGATTGTATCGTTCCATATCCTAACTATTTGCGTCCTGTAACCTGTCATTTCGTTTTCGTTTTTCGTGGCAGTAAAGTATGCACGTATGAGATTGATATTATCTTCTCTTGACCAGCGCATACGCCTGTTTCGTGTTTGTCGTCCATTAGCGGGGCTTCCTGTATGGTTGCCCAAGCTATCGGTTCGATTTTGATTTTCAAGTCCATCTTCAGGCCGGGCTTTTCCGGTTCGGAGGTGAGCGTCGCCCGTCTCACTCGTTCCTCCTAGGGGCTGGGACTGTCCGCTTGCAGGTGCTGCCCCCGCACCTTCAGCTTCCGAGGCTCGTTGTACTCTTCTCATTTTAAAATGGTAAGCGCATTTTATACCTTCTGCCAGGTAGTATTTAGCCGCTCCTAACATGGAGTACAGACGCTATCGGACTACCGCTCCTTACATGGAGATCCGTCGTGTCCTATTATAATGTGTTGGTTAGTTACGGTCCACCCCGGGTATTTGATTTCCCCGATACCACCCATATCTGGAAGCCATTCCCCTATCCGCCACCTGGGAGGCGCCTGGGAGAAGTCCAACACTACCTCTCCTGCAAGCAGGTTCCAGGTCTGAACCGAACTCCACCAACTTGTCCATTTAAAATACATTGTAGTCAATATTTGACAATTTTGAGAGGTTTTGACGGCAATGGATCTTGATAAAAAAAATTTGCCATTCATGTTCAGCTGAACCATACATTGAACTTCCTGCTGTCCATTTGTACTACCATCAAGTCCAGAAATTAGGCTTTTTTGCAAAAAGTATCAAAAATTTATATTGAATGTTATTACTTGAAATTTAAAAAAACATGACATTATTATAGTTATTATAATAAGTACAATTAGTTTTATTGGAATTTATATTAAAATCTAGTATAATTTACTTTAAATACAATTAAAATTTTTATTACTAATTAAATTCCCATTTATTATAATGTAACATAAAAGGTTTCAATTTTTAGTGCATTTTATTATAATGCATAATAATAATGACTATAAAATTTAACATAATTTACCCTTAAAACAATTAGAATTTATCATACTATTTAAACCTGTTTATTAAAATATAAAACAAAATGTTGTAAATCTTAGTGCATTTTCAAATTACGGATAATTTAAAGTCTAATAAAATATAACATAATTTACTTTAAACAATAATAAAATTGATAATAGTAGTTAAAACCTTTTTTATTGAAACATAAACAAATTGTTTTACTGTTGAACTAAAGAAATGTTTTTACAAAAATTATTGTAATTTTTAAATAATGTGTTTTTTAATAACAAGTTACCTTAACGCTATTATAAAATGTTTTATATTTTACAGTAATTGTAAAATATATATATATATATATATATATATATATATATATATATATATATATATATATATATATATATATATATATAAATGAATGTATAAAAAAAATCTATAAAAAAGAAGAAATGTATAAAAAAGAAGAAAAAGATTAAACGGCTCAGCCTCGCAACCGTATACACCAGTGCAGACACGCACACTCACACACTCACACAGCCACACACCTCACTAGTGTGTAGGTGAGAGACCCCGGTTGGGGGCGTGTAACACTGATGTTACTGCCTTCAGGCTTCATCAGTACGGTAAGGAACCAGGAAGCGAAACCTAGGAAAAAATATATGAACAAACGAAGATATGCGACAAAAATATATGACAAACGAAGATATGATCCAACAATAAAAATTGTGCACGTAAACAAATTTCGTAGTTGGCTTCCGCGAAGAGATTTGTGTTACAGAAGCCAACTACGAGATAATTCATAAGACATTTTTCTAAAAAACCCATTCCTTCAACTGCAACGTGTTCGTGAGACGTACCCCATAACATTGCTTTTGTCGTCACTAAATTAAAAATGGTCTGCTTTTATTTGTTCTATAAACCGATTTAAATTTGGATGCCATTATTCGACCAGCCCTCTGTGCATACCTGTTTCTGTTTTCCCATTGAGTCCTTGTAGACTTTTCTATATACATAATTTTTTGTTCCCGCTTACAGAAACATCGACTGTTTTTGCTATCTCTATTAGTTCTTTGTCGCTTTTATTTAAATTTTTGGAATCAATTACTTTCAAAAGTGAACCTACACTCTGAACTCTTTTTTCGGCCAGTTTTGAGGCAAATCGTCCCCTATCCCACATACTGACGTAACTCGCAATTAATACATTTTTCAGGAGAAGGGAAAATAAAAAATTACCTGTATTAAACCTATTGTAGTTTTTATACCTGTGAGAGAACAGATAGGAAATTCTGAGGTTATGAGGCATTTATACGTTGTTACCTTGTTTCGTTATTTGACACCTGTTTTTTTTCTTAGTTTTTGTGTTTTTTTTTTGGAAAATATGTAGATACGCCATTTTGTGAGATTTTTTTTATTGGCATGTTGGATACGTTAAATTACTTTTTTGTATACGGAGAAAAGTGTATAATAATTGTTATTAAAAAAATAATATGATTTAAGAGAAATTCTAATACTCTATAGGACGATTACCCAGTATAATGCCACATAATAACCAGATATAATCAATTACTGTAAAATATAAAACATTTTATAATAGCGTTAAGGTAACTTGTTATTAAAAAACACATTATTTAAAAATTACAATAATTTTTGTAAAAACATTTCTTTAGAAATTATTAAAAAATAATTTAAACAGTAAAACAATTTGTTTATGTTTCAATAAAAAAGGTTTTAACTACTATTATCAATTTTATTATTGTTTAAAGTAAATTATGTTATATTTTATTAGACTTTAAATTATCCGTAATTTGAAAATGCACTAAGATTTACAACATTTTGTTTTATATTTTAATAAACAGGTTTAAATAGTATGATAAATTCTAATTGTTTTAAGGGTAAATTATGTTAAATTTTATAGTCATTATTATTATGCATTATAATAAAATGCACTAAAAATTGAAACCTTTTATGTTACATTATAATAAATGGGAATTTAATTAGTAATAAAAATTTTAATTGTATTTAAAGTAAATTATACTAGATTTTAATATAAATTCCAATAAAACTAATTGTACTTATTATAATAACTATAATAATGTCATGTTTTTTTAAATTTCAAGTAATAACATTCAATATAAATTTTTGATACTTTTTGCAAAAAGCCTAATTTCTGGACTTGATGGTAGTACAAATGGACAGCAGGAAGTTCAATGTATGGTTCAGCTGAACATGAATGGCAAATTTTTTTTATCAAGATCCATTGCCGTCAAAACCTCTCAAAATTGTCAAATATTGACTACAATGTATTTTAAATGGACAAGTTGGTGGAGTTCGGTTCAGACCTGGAACCTGCTTGCAGGAGGGGTAGTGTTGGACTTCTCCCAGGCGCCTCCCCAGGTGGCGGATAGGGGAATGGCTTCCAGATATGGGTGGTATCGGGGAAATCAAATACCCGGGGTGGACCGTAACTAACCAACACATTATAATAGGACACGACGGATCTCCATGTAAGGAGCGGTAGTCCGATAGCGTCTGTACTCCATGTTAGGAGCGGCTAAATACTACCTGGCAGAAGGTATAAAATGCACTTACCTTTTGAAAATGAGAAGAGTACAACGAGCCTCGGAAGCTGAAGGTGCGGGGGCAGCACCTGTAAGCGGACAGTCCCAGCCCCTAGGAGGAACGAGTGAGACGGGCGACGCTCACCTCCGAACCGGAAAAGCCCGGCCTGAAGATGGACTTGAAAATCAAAATCGAACCGATAGCTTGGGCAACCATACAGGAAGCCCCGCTAATGGCCGACAAACACGAAACAGGCGTATGCGCTGGTCAAGAGAAGATAATATCAATCTCGAACGTGCATACTTTATTGCTACGAAAAACGAAAACGAAATGACAGATTACAGGACGCAAATAGTTAGGATATGGAACGATACTTACCCCCACAACCCAAAAACATCTCAACAACTGTCAGGCCAAATAAGATCAGTTCTTAATAGAAAAGTATTTTCCCAAGCAGAGTTACAAGCCTTAAAAGAAGAAGTGGCACCATACAAAGAACCGCATTCCGCCATGCAGGAAGTTGTAGAGGAAAGCGCTGAAGACAAACGAGAAACCGTGACAACTCTTCTCGCCTAGGACGAAAACGTCCCAGCGGTTAACGAACTTCACTCCCAATTTGAAGAAAACTGTTTAAAATACGAAGGTATCCCGCTACAGTTAAGAGACAAAATCCCAAAAATCAAATACAATGTAAAAACTCTTCAAACTGTTAGGCTGCAAATTGGGGCTTTAGGCTCCCGTTTGCTCATTTTTATTTTCCATCATTTATTTTCGTTTCTAGTTTCTATAATGTTATATAAGTTGGCCACTGAACCCCGCATGACGCCAGCCATCGACGCCAAGTCCGAGCGGTCAGTCAACCAGCAACATTAGCATTTCTAACGGAATAGTACTGGAGCAACCTCAGCGACTATTTCTATATTTAATAGGAAATCATGTATTGGAAAAAGAGAGTTTTATATTAATTTTTATCGAGTGCAGAACGACACTCTGTCAGTTTAATTTTTGATTATTTTTATATTAATTATATTTTAAATAACATTTTTAAATACCAATAATTTTGTAATTAAGTTTAATAAAGTTTTTTTAAAAAGTGTACTTCGAATTTGATGATATAACATCTGGCGCAGTCGGTAGGATTCGTCAACGTTGTCAGAACACGAAAAATTCTAACTGATAGCGGCGGATCCTCATCCCTCAACGAAGGAAAGAACCTACAATCAAAAGAAATTCGAAAATCAAGTCTAACTGGTACAGCTACGGAAGGAACACCTGGTGAAGCCCCTGGTAACTGGTACGAGAACACGACGCCCACGTGAAGTTGAAACAATACATGTAAGTAAAAGAATTGTCTCGCTTTTACATTCTATATTATATTACAATATTCCAAGAAACTGTTCGATTTTCTAAGTATTTTATATATTAATCGCAGAAAATTATTTTATCTTAATAAAATATAGCGTTTCTCTATATTTTAGTACAACGAAAGTATCTAAAAAAAATTCTTAATAATATAATTTTATTTTTATAAACTTATATAAAAAAATAATTTTCGAAACAATTTAATTTTCAATTTTAACTCACTACTTTCTACTTTTACCAAATTTAAATTAAATTACTTTCTATTTTTTTAAATTTTATCTAAGTTGAAAACCATTCAAATAACAATACTAGCGTAAAAACATTTGAAGTAGAACCTTATAAATTATCGGAAATTTTCTCTATAGTCCCAGAATTTGATGGTGACCAAATATTTTTAACAAACTTTTTGAACGCGTGCGATTGTGCGTATAGAATGGCAACATCGCAACAAAAAATATTTCTTGTTATTCATATCAAAAATAAGCTTAGAGGTAGGGCAGCACAACTTGTGAGTTCCAGAGACCCACAAACCTACCCTGACATTAAACAATTATTAAATTTGCATTTTGGCGATTCAAGAGATTTCACATCTCTTATACAAGACCTCAAACGCCTTAAGCAACTATCTGGAGAGTCTCCTTTAACATTTTTCAATCGTCTACAAGCATTAAACGCGAAATTACATTCAAGTATTCAAAAATCTGGATTAAACAAAGATGAAAAGGATGCACAAACAATTTTAATAGAAACAATGGCTTTAAACACTTTGTTAACTGGTTTAGAACCTAGACTAGGACAATTAATTCGTGCTAGTAATCCGACATCTCTTGTAGAAGCTCAAAATAGAATCAGAAGAGAGTTACAACTCTCATACCTTGAAAATCAAAAATCGAGTAATAATCCTAAACCTATCCAACCTTTAAGAAATATTCCTAACAATGTGAAATGTTCTGTTTGTAATCGCATTGGTCATAGTTCTAACCAATGTAGAAATAACAATAATTCTTATAGACCTAATATTAACCAAAATTTAAATTCAAATTTTTCAAGGCCTAATACAAATTCTTTTCAACAAAATTGACCAAACCATCCTGGCATGAATCAAAATAATTCAGCTAATTTTCAAAGAAATACCTCTATGAATTTTCAGCCTAGACCTCAAACCATAACTCAAGTTTCTCACAATAATGAAAATCAAACAAATATCCCGAACAGAAATTTTAATCAAAATTCTCAAAATAGAAATTTTAATCAGAATTTTCAAAATAGAAATTTTAATAATAATCAAAACAGAACACATCATATTAATTATGACGATTACGTTAACTACTGTCCTTATAATTTTAACGACACCTCGTACAACAATTATCAAAACCAAGTCGAAATTCCCGAAGAATTTCCTAATAATTTTCAAAATACTGATAATTATGAGGATTTTCTCGAATTGCCTCACAACCTAGACCCTCCGATCAACACATTCCAAGAAGAAATATCCCAATTAGAAACCCAAATCCAATCCCTGAATTTAGACAACATGAACCCGAATGTGGACTTTCCCGATCAACAATTCATTTAAATAAATTATATACAGTAAACCCTCAGAATCTTTTTTATATAAACGACATAACAAATACTTATAAACTTTTAATTGACACTGGTGCTGGAATATCAATATTTAAAGAACATACTGTAAATAAATTTCCAAATTGTTATCCCGAAAATGTAACTATCCAAGGCATAACTAACGAAAAAATTCCAATAAATAAATCCACGCTCATTCCTTTTGTTCCTGATGATCCCCATAAAGTATATGTCCATAATCTCGATATCGATTTTAATGGTATATTAGGTTTGGATTTTCTGGAACATTACGAGTGTGTTATAGATTTAAAGTCTAAAGAATTAATTACAAATTTTAAAACAATCCCTTTACATAAAGTTGATAATAATAAATTAAAACAAGAAATATCCTTTGAAAATTCAATAAAACATAATAGCATTAAAATACCAGCTAGAACCGAACAAATATTTAAGCTCTCGTGCAGTTTAAAAAACACTGACGCAATTTTATATTCTAACGAAAAAGAAAAAGTTAGGTTACCAAACGCATTAGTAAAGGTAAACGCACACGGTGAATTTTACACGTCAATTGCGAATACAAACGCCATGGAAAAATCTATAGATTTATCAGATCTAAATATAGAACCGTTTAGCTCAAATTCAGATAAAGACTATACACTTTTAAATTTTAATTTCGATCCTAATAACATTCAAAAAGATAGACGTAAAACTATCAAAGAGCAGTTAAGAACAAATCATTTTAACGAAGAGGAAAATGATCTTATTATTACTAATCTATGTCTAGAATTTTCTGATATTTTTTATCTTGAAGGTGATGTTTTAACGTTTACGAATGAGATTAAACATTCTATAGACACTAACAATGCAAAACCCGTATTTACCAAATCATACAAATATCCCCATATTCATAAAGAGGAAGTCAAATTCCAAATTAACAATATCTTAGATCAAGGTATCATTCGACCTTCAATATCCCCGTGGTCTTCCCCTGTCTGGGTCGTCCCGAAAAAACTTGATGCCTCTGGCAAACCAAAATGGAGAGTTGTGATCGATTATCGCAAACTCAACGAACTAAGTGTAGGTGACAAATATCCTCTCCCTAACATTTCGGATTTGCTAGATCAGCTAGGCAAATGTCAGTATTTTACGACACTTGTCACTATTTTACGACACTGGATTTACGGCCTCTGGTTTCCACCAGATAGAGATAAACCCAAATGACATCCCAAAAACTGCATTTTCAGTTAAGAATGGGCATTACGAGTTCGTCCGTATGCCATTCGGTCTTAAAAACGCCCCTTCCACCTTTCAAAGAGTGATGGACAACATCCTCTTAGGTATTCAAAACGAAAGATGCTTAGTCTACATGGACGACATTATCATTTATTCACCCACGATACATGAACATATTACTCGTCTAACAGAAATTTTTAAAAGGTTAAGAAAAGCCAACCTAAAAATTCAGCCTGACAAGTGTGAGTTTCTTAGAAAAGAGGTAGCTTATCTAGGACATCTCATTACTGAAAAAGGTGTAAAAACTAACCCTGCTAAAGTTCAATGTATTCAAAACTTCCCGATACCTACAAACGAAAAAGAGATAAAATCATTCCTCGGATTAACTGGTTATTATCGACGATTAATTCCGAATTTTGCCAAAATTTCCAAGTCCTTAACACGTCTACTACAAAAAGACATTCCCTTTCAATTTGATTCCGAATGTATGTCTTCTTTCAATTATCTTAAAAACGCCCTAACTTCTGACCCTATTTTAATCTATCCTAATTTTGATGAAGCCTTTGTATTGACTACAGATGCAAGTGCCTTTGCAATAGGTGCTGTATTGTCTCAAGGTCCAATTGGTAAAGACCTACCCGTAGCATACGCCTCCTGAACCTTGTGTAGTGCCGAGTCTAAATACTCAACCATCGAGAGAGAACTTCTCGCTATAGTCTGGTCAGTTAAACATTTTCGCCCTTATCTGTATGGTCGAAAATTCATTCTCATCACAGACCATCGCCCTCTTACTTGGCTCTTTTCTATCAAAGACCCAGGTAGTCGTTTAGCACGTTGGCGGCTCAAACTCGAGGAGTACGATTATAAAATAGAGTATAAACCTGGTAAGATTAACAAAAATGCTGACGCACTATCTAGAATAAAGGTTAATCATTTTAAAGATTTAAAAATTAAAAATTTAAAAATTTAAAAATTTTTACTCGTAACATTTCACTGGAGTCTGACAATTTTTCTTATTAATTTTCTTACATTAATTTTTGTAGTTTAATTTTTTTTGGCATGATACAGAGGAGGAAACAGCTGCAGTTTTCTTGGTACGATTTAAGACTAAAATTTTTATTGTCTTTCTTATTTTTGATATTTCTATTGGGGTCTATAGAATTTAGACAATTTCATATTACGGAGATATATCAGCTGTGTATTTTGAAATTTTTGATATTTTGATATATTTTTGAACCTGGTATACAGGGCGGTCAAGATTTAATGCTTGGACCTGATTTTTTTTTTAGTTAAAATTTTTAATAGTTTAACATTTTTTTCTTGGTGGATACACATGAAAGTTTATCTATTGTTGGGATTTCCTTATACCGGGTGGTCAATATTTTTTTGTGACTTTGTGATTTTTTTTTAAATTTCAAGGTGTTTGACATTTGATAAAGTTTGAAACTTTATATTTACAGACATTTCGGTTTGTATTTTTCCCTATACAGGGTGGACAAGCATTAAATTTTCGACTTTGATTTTTTTTATCTCTAGGTGTTTGAAATTTGATATAAATTTTGAACGTTATACTTAGTTGATATAGTTTCAGTATCAAATTTAGTGGACATGTGTCGGAAATTAGAAGCGAATTTACGTCCAGTTAACGAGCAATTGTAGTTGTAGTACTAGCAGTCAAGCTGGATCCAGTTCAAGCCAATCACGTAGCGTGAAGTCTCCTGTCTCAAATTCTGTTAATAATTTTAGAAAAAATTTGAGTAAAAATTTTAAGCAAAATAAATCAGCACATCCTGTAAATACTCAAACCAGTACATCTCAAGAACCAAGTACAAGTTCAGTACCTAAAACTCCTTCTAAATGTTGGAACTGATAGATGTTTTTTCTCATGAGTTTACAGTACTTATTGATCCTGGTTGTACAACCACAGTGATTGGTTCAGAAGGTATAAATTTTCTTAGTAAACTTGGCATAACTAAAAATTCAACTTTTTCGACAGTTAGTTTAGCCGATGGTTCTAAAAGAGACGTAGTGGGTGTAATAGATTTACCGATTGTTGTGGATAAGTGCTGTTTTGTTATTTCTGCTTTAGTGTACCGTCTCTTAAACTCAGTTTTATTTTAGGCAACGACTTCTTTACACAAAGTGCTGCAATTATTGATTTTAAGACAAATAGTTTTCGCATTCAGAATTGTCAAGATTGTGTTCTTGGTGCTCAAAACTTTGAGGGCGATTTTAATTTTAAAAATAATGATTTATTTTCGATTGATGATTTAACGACTAGACAACAGAACACGGCTGAAACAATTATCCAATCTTTTGATGAAATTGATAGCGAACATCGTCTTGGAAGGACGAATAAAATAGAATTAACTATAGAAACGGGAGACGCAAAGCCTTTTAAGAAAAGACCTTATTTATTATCACCGTATATGCATAAAATTTTGAACGATGAGTTGGGCGACATGCTCAAATTGGGTGTTATTGAACCTTCTTCTAGTCTCCTTGGTCTTCTCCAGTTCTTTTAGTTAAGAAAAAAACTGGCGAGTATCGGTTTTGTTTCGATGGACGTCCACTCAACGAGGTGACTAAGCATGACAGTTATCCTCTACCCCGTATCGATAGGATTCTAAATATGTTGCATGATGCAAAATTTATTTCTTCAATAGATCTCAGGAAATCTTTCTGGCAAATTCCACTCCACCCTTCGTCTAGAGAAAAGACAGCGTTCAGTGTGATAGGACGTGGATTATTTCAGTTTGTAACCATGCCTTTTGGTCTTTGTAATGCTGCTCAGACACAACAACGTTTAATAGATTCAATTTTTGGTCCACAATATGAACCAAATATTTTTTGTTATTTAGATGATATTATAGTTTGTTCTGCTACTTTTGAAGAACATATCAAACTGTTGTCTGTTGTCAGGGATAAGCTTAAAGAAGCTAACCTTACTATAAATACCAAAAAGTGCGAGTTCTTTTAAACATCTCTTAAATTTCTTGGATATGTAGTTGGTGGTAACTCTTTACGCACCGATCCAGATAAAATTTCGGCTATGATTAATTATCCTCGTCCAACCACCACAACTGAAGTCAAACGCTTCATTGGTCTTTGCTCTTGGTACAGACGTTTCGTTAAAGATTTTTCTACGTTAGTTTCGCCGATTAATGATTTATTAAAGGGCAAAAGAAAGAGAGAGAGTCTATCTCTTGGTCTTCTGAAGCCGAATCTTCTTTTATTAAGATTAAGGAAGCTTTAGTTTCTTCACCT